AACCGAAACCAAACCAAATTCATTGATAAAATTTGGTAACCGAACCGATTAGCTTATAACAATTTCGGTTCGGTTTTGGTTTGTAAAATTAAAACCGAATTTTTTTGGTTAATTCAAAATTGGTTTCGGTTTTAACCGAAACCGGTTTTTGCCCACCCCTAATCAAGAGTAATACAAATTTTTGGCACTGAAACACATGAATGCACCGACGCAAAGTTCGACACTTGGCAGAAGAAATTGGCTGTATTTATTTTTTTAAAGAATCCCGACAGCATCATAGTGTACCATGGAAACTATTCCCCAATTGCTTCAATCAACCTTGATAGCATAGAAGATGTTAGACAAGCAATAAAGAAAGGGCATTAACTTTTTCAGACATAGCATATGCTACAAAAGAGCCTTTTCAATGTTTATCTGTCTTGTAGGGAATATTTTCCAAACTAGAAGAAAACTAGAAGTACAATGATTGGTACATTATTCGGTTCAACACATTGTGTAACATACTTATTAAAAAATCATTATTTTTTATCTGAAATTAAAAATAAACAAGTTTAATGATACAATTATACACATAGGATACATGAACCGATTAAATTGATCGTATTTATATTATATTTTTAATCACTAAACTGAAATGCATCAAAAAAATATGTTGAACTGGAGGGTGTTTAAGTCATTTTCCAACCTAGAAACATATTAAGTCGAGGATTTGTGTCCTTATGCGTTTGGGGAAGGGGCTTTAATGCCATAAAGCATGTGACTTAGCTGTCCAAAATCATTCATGGTATTACAGCAACTAACAAGTGAAATTGTGATTTATTTACCAAAGAGGTAATTTTATGATTTTTTTTAACAAAATATCTTTGAAATTGGATAAACATGAGGGTAGAATTGTCGTTTCATGTTTAAATTATAAGGATAGAAAGGTTTAGGCTTTGTTTTTAATTTTATATATACTAATGAAAAGAAATACTCCCCTAAATAGTCCCTTGAAAAAAGCATACATCCATTCGTTAGGGTTAGTCATCGCGGGCAATCAAAAGAAATTTCCATTAAATAGTCCCCTTGGAAAAGTTGTCATCGCGTGCAACTCATGTCTCATCATGTTAACCGGGAGTGGGTAGTGACCCACCTTGGCCGCAAAAGAAAAGACGTGTGGAATGGATGTGTACAGCTTGTTTCTGGAGAAGTACTTTTTACGTTTTTATATAGTATCAATGATAATTGAAAAAATTACTTAATCTAAATGAAATTACTTATTAAAAATTATGTATAGAGAGAATTTTTTTCTTTTCATTTATAACATATAAAAATATTAAGTTAAAATATATATAAAAGTCAAATTAAATAAACGGAAAAAGACCAAAAGGAGTAGTAACTTCAACATTTTTTGAGTGATAGATTCCTGCATACAATTAGGTCACCAGCTAGTTTTATTATATGAAAGTATTTCTACGTACCGAGGTCAAACCAATTCCATATTAATGGGATGCTTCCCTTTTTCTTTGTAGATGATACTTTTCTTCATGGAAATAACCTGCAACGACCAAATAAAAAAAAAAAAAAAACTATTCAAATTTGGAAGTTTCTTTTCTTTTTTTCTCCGGGAATTCAGATTTGAAGGTTTAGTTACACCATATTTGATGGTGGCCAGAAAATTGGTGGCTGAAGAACTGCAGTAGTATTATTTGCTTCATATTTCCCGACAGCAAAATGACACAAGTTGAATTAATGCTGTAATTTTTCTTATTTCCTAATCCTAAATACGAAGATATCCTAAATACAAAGATAGACACAAATTAATTCACTCTTTGATTTAATATATTACATAATATACTTATTAAAAGTTATTATTTTTTAGTTTGAAATTAAAAGTAATTAAATAAATTTAAAAATATGATTACACATATAAAATGTAAAAATTAATTAAAACAGTTATATTTATATTATAGTTTAAAAATTGAACTAAATTAATATTAAAAAATATGTTAAATCAAAAATATATTAATTATTTTCCATACGCCAATTGAACACTCATTTTCCCTTAGCGCACTGGTGGCTTTTAATATATTGAAAATATATTAAATATTATCATAGATTT